CTTTTTAAAAATAATTTGGTAAACTTTATTATTCTATTTATGATAAATAACCATTGATTAATTGGCACTAGAAGGATTTTTTTCTTAACATGGTTAAGTTACGCACACACACTCACTTAGAAACACGTATACAGCACACAGTTGACATTTGTAAGAGTTAAGCAGCAATCGCACTGAAGTTTTTACCTGAGTAGTGCCTGTTTACACCAATGTTGTTTAGGATTAACTATAGAATAAAACAGTAAATCAGATACGCTGTACCCAAGAAGAAAAGTGTAAGAGGAGAACATAAATTGTATTATTTGAAATACAATGATGTGTATCTTGAAAATACCTGATATGTACATATATGTATATGTGTTTATAATATAGAGTTATAGAAACTGAGTTCAGTAAGGTGACTGGTTGACAAATAAGTATAAAAATCAATATCTTTAGTGTGTGCCATTTAGAAAATGCAATGGAAGCATGATACTACTTATGGCACAGTACAGAAAAACATAGACATAGAAAAACATAACAAAAACACATAGGACTGAAAAAAAGAAAATTCTGCCAAACTCCACTAAAATCCAAAGGAAAGAGCCCTGAAAAATATAAAAAAATAACACTTCTCCAAAGGTGAACTAATAAGTCAATACAATTCCAAAATTAAATGCAAAGTAACCATTTAATTAATAGTAAAATAAGTCTGAAGTTCACATAGAAAAATAAACATGTGATAGTAGTCTAAAAAAGAATATGGTGAGTGAAAAAAATGGCTCTGCAAAATATGTATTGCCACAGAGTTACAACATAAGAAATGGTAGAAAAGAGAAACAAATTCTTATGGAAGCTCCTAAATATGCACAGAAATAGTGCAACATTTGTGTGCGTGGCAATTTAAGGCAGGAAGGGAAAAGACAAATTATTCTTTAAATGCAGTCCCTACAACTACCTAACCATTTGTGAAAAAAATACATGTGAGACTCTCCTGGTTTCTCACACAAAAACAAGTTCCAAATGATTCAAAAATTGTAATGGACTAAATAAAAATAAAATGTCACTTGAATTCTGATTTCATGAATTAATTTTTAAAATAGTATTGGAATAGAAAGAACTTATTTATAAATATAATATGTAAATATGAAACAATGAAAGAAAAATAAAATCATCTGGATTGAAAAATATTAGATATATTTTGATCAACTCTAACATTATCTGTCTTTTTAATTAGCACTTTAGGCCACTAACATTCAAAGTTTTATTGATAATGTTTAATATCTACCGTATTTTGTTACTGTTTACTATTTGTTGCCCTTATTCCTTGATGTATTTTTGTCTTTACTATTTTTCTGCCTTTTATTGTTTTAATTTGGCATCTTATATAATAAAAGCCTAATATGCAAATTCACCAAACGGCAGATGGACCAGCAGAATGACCGGTCACTATGACATGCACTGACCACCCCGGAGCAGATGCTCAACACAGGAGCTGCCCCCAGCCTGCAGGCCCCAGGCCAGCCAAGGCAGGTGCCAGCAGGGGCTCCCCGATCACCCTGCCAGCAGCCCTGCAGAGGAAGGTGACCAGCCGTGGTGGTGTGGGGCAGGGCCAGCGAGTTTGCAGCGCCAGGCCGGCCAAGGCAGGTGCCAGCAAGGGCCTCCTGATCGCCCCTTCAGTCACCCCACAAATTGGCCCTGGTCGCTGGCCAGGCCTAGGGACCCTACCTGTGCATGAGTTTCATGCACTGGGCCTCTAGTTCCATATAATAAAACCCTAATATGCAAATAGATCAAACAGTAGCCGGTTACTATGATGCGCACTGACCACCAGGGGGAAGACGCTTAATGCAGGAGCTGTCCCCTGGTTGTCAATGTGCTCCCACAGGGGGAGCACCACTCAGCCAGAAGCTGAGCTCATGGCTGGCAAGCACAGTGGTGGTGGTGGGAGCCTCTCCCGCTTCTGCTGCAGGTGGGAAGTAAAGAGCGAGGGGTTCCAAACTGAGAGAGGGTGCAGGTCGGGCTGAGGGACCCCCTCCCTCCAGTGCACAAAATTTCATTCACTGGGCCTCTAGTTTTATATTTTTCTCTCCTTTCTTAGCATATCAGTTATAGTTCTTTTTTTGTTCTTTTTTACTTTTTTAAGTGGTTGCCATAGAATTTGCAATATACATTTTCAACTAATCCAAGTCCCCTTCCAAAAAACACTACATTACTTCATAGGTAGTGTGAATACCTTAGAATAGCAAAGTAATCCCAATTCCTTCCTCCCATATCTCCTGTCATTGTTGTCATTCACTTTATGTAAGCATTCATAAGTGTGTGTCTATACTATATATGATATACACGTAGCACGCATAATCTATGTTGGCATTATATTTTGAATAAATTCCTATAACAATTAATAGTAAGAAAAATAAAATGGTTAATGTTTTTATTTTATCTTCCCTTATTCCTTCTTCAGTGTTTTTCCTTCTTTATGTGGATTCGAGATTCTGACCTGTATCATTTTCCTTCTCTCTAAAGATTTCTGTTAACATTTCCTACAAGGCAGGTGTACTGGCAACAGCTTCCGCCAATATTTGTTTGTCTGAGGAAGTCTTTCTTTCTTTCTTCTTTAATTTTGAAGGATAATTTCCCAGGGTACAGAAATATATGTTTTTATTTTTCTCTCAACTATTTATTTCAGTTCATTCTCCTCTTGCTTGCATGGCTTCTGAGAAGAAGTCTAGTGTAATTCTGATCTTTGTTCTTCTGTAGGTTAGGTGTTTTTGGTTCTCTTCTCCCCACCCCACCACCCTTTGAGTTCTTTCAGGATATTTTTCTTTATCTTTGATTTTCTTTAATTTGAAAATGACATCCCTAGGTATAGTTTGTTGTTGCTTGGCGTTTATCCTGTTTGGTGTTCTTTAAACTTCATGGATAAATGACTTGGTATCTGACATTAATTTGGGTAACTTTTCAGTCATTGTTGTTTCTAGTGGTATTTCTTCTGTTACTTTCCCTCTGTCTTCTCCTTTTGTCATTCCCATTATGTATGTTATACCCTTTTAAATTGCAGTAATTGGATACTCTGTTCCAAACAGGTTGTGTTTTTTTTTTTTCTATTTGCTTTTGGTTTGAGGCTTCTAATAGTACCTGGTATATAACCTCCAGGTCAGAGCTTATTTCCACAGCTGTGTTCAGTCTACTAATAAGCTCATCAAAGGCGTTCTTTATTTCTGTTACAATGTTTTTATCACTGGCATTTCTTGTTTTGCTCCTTCATAGAATTTCCATCTCTCTGCTTACATTGCCCATCTGTTCTTGCATACTATTTACTTTCCCTTAGCATATGAATCGCGTCTTAAATTCCCATTCTTAAGTCCAACATCCCTGCCATGGCTGGTCCTGATGCTTGCTCTCTCTCTTCAAGTCATGCTTTTTGCTGGTTGGTATGCCTTGCTTGTAATGTTTTCTTGATCGCTGGACATGCTGTGCTGGGTAAAACGAATTGCTGTAAATGGGCCTTTAGTAATGTGAGGATGAGGTGCAGGAGAGAGAGGGGAAGTGGCCTACAGTCTTAAGACCAAGCTTTCATTGAGCATAGCCTCCGGACTGTGAACTTCAGGACACATTTGCCCCTGCTTTCCTCGCCTCTTTGGTTGAATAGGATGGCTCACGTGGGCTGCATCTGTATTCTCCTCTTCCAGCTCAGTTAGGCTCTGAGAATAGCCCCGCAGGTGAGGTTCTGGTTAAAGGATTAACTAGTTTCACCGGAGGACAGACCTTAATAAGACAAACACTGGGCTCTGACCTGTTTGTCAAAATGGCTCCTTTCTCCTTCCCTTACTGCATGTACAAGAGGGTTTTTCTTCGATATTTGATCTCAGAACCGGGTTGAGCTTCTGGGGGTAACTCTCCCCAAATTATTGGAGCCCTATCACTTGGTGCCTCCCCTTTGGAGTGTTTAATGCTCAGACTTGTCTGCACTGAGCCTCCAGCTACTTGTCAACCTGCAGCTCAGGTTTTTCTCTCCTGGCACTGGTTCCCAAGCCCTCTCCACGCCTGGGTCCCGCTCCGGTAAGCCTCAGCTTCCAGTGTTCTCCTGTCTGCCCCTCTAATTCGGGGGGGCTGCGGGGGCGGGGGCAGCAGTTTGCTCTCTGCTCTCTCCTCTCTTATGGATCCAAGAAGAGTTCATTTTTCGGTCTGTTTGACTTTTTACTTGTTAGGATGATGCATGCAGAACTGGAAAGTAGAAGTGGTAAATTAGATTTCAATGAAATAAACTTAGAAAATGTTTAGGACATTTGTACTTAAAGCTTTAGTAACACAGTAAATAGGTTTTTTTCCCCCTAAAAACATACAGATTGTTTTTAAAAACACTGAATAGTCATTTTGCAATGTAAGAAGTAGAAATGATAAATGCATCTGAAGTTATTAATTGCGTTAGTAATCAAGAAAGGCAAATTAGAGTATGGATAATATATGTGTCACCAGTAAATTTTGAAATACCTTGCAATGCTTCTGAGGATGTTTGAAAATTACCAAATATACTCTAAAGATATTCTAGCAATTCTCTATGTAGGAATTATCCTTCCTTCCCCAAAAAGACATAACTAGGAATATATAAACAAAGATGTTCATTTCAACATTGTTTATAATAAAAAAATTAAAGTATATTTTCAGTGGACTGGTCTAAATGGTGCTGCAATGAAATGATGTCAGTCATTGGAAGTAAATGAAAAGATAGCTTTCTGTACAATTATGTCAGATAAAATCAAATTATACAGCTGTATGGATATTAGACTCAGAATGCAAATGTTAGGAAACATACACCGAAAATCTATCTTGAACATATTTCTTTTTCCTAAATAAAGTAGTAACATAAGATGGCATAATCAAATCTTACTGCTAGTGCCTTCTGTGGAGTATGCTAACAGGTGACTAAAGAAATATACACTTTCAAAGCGTATTATCTGTGTTAGAAAATGGAATGGTTTTTACACAGAGGATAACCCTGCTTTCTCGCCTCCTGCTAGGGAAGGGTGAGCACGGGAAACCTTACCCCCTCACTGAAGACGACCACGATGACTCAGCTTACAGGGAAAATGGTTTCAATATTTTTGTCAGCAACAATATCGCTCTGGAGAGGTCTCTGCCCGACATTCGTCATGCTAAGTGAGTATCAGCATGCCAGTGTGGGGGGTGGTTTTTTTTGTTTAGCTACTTAGTTGTATTATGTTTAAGATGTCACTAATGCTTTTGCCCTAATAATATTATAGAAACTTTTCTATTTCATAGTCTTAAATAGGTCTGCTTTAAATTGGAATGATCTTTAAAATTCTAAAAGAATAGCGCCTCTAAAACTTAAGACACGTGTTTGTTATTGAGTCCACTGTATTATTTCCATTAAAAATGAAACGTTTTTAGATAATACCCATACCATTACATTTGATCACATAGATTACGAAGCAAACAAGTTTTTTTTATTTTTTCTTGTGGTTAGTGCTGTCAGAATGTGCGTGTATATGTACTTTTGATTAGCTTCATTCTTACACCCGTCGTAGTCAGTGCCATTACAGTTACATCTTCCATGAAGAATGCCTGAAATAAATGGATCCATAATTCAAAAGTAATGGCAGTTGCTCAATTTTCTGTCACTTTATGAATTGCTTGTGGCTTGTCAATCGACAGTGAGTTCAGTTTTTACTGAATTAATAGCTAAATGTTATCCTGTAAAGGGAAACAAGAATAATCCCTCTTCTCTCTGTCCACACCTACCTACTCCTAACATTGCTTAAAGTACATTGCTTTTTTCCCTTAGTTTATTATGGTTTTCTCGATAGCATACATAATGCCAAAAGTATGCCATAGAATGTGATCAGAATTTGAAGTTGTGGAATTCTACATATTTGAGAAATCTATTCAACTATAATATGTTTAATTCTCCCCCACCTCACTCTTCCTTTGGCACCACTGTTATGACATAAAGAAAATTAGAGAAAATAAAATAAGGGCAACTAATAAAAGTAGGAGTAGGAATTTAAATTAAACCAGTAATGTACAGTAAATAAAACTCTTAATTTTGTGCAAGAATAATTAACCTTTGCAAAAAAATATGGTTTGGGGCACTACTCGTATTTTACTTGCCCTATTGTGCTTTTGTAAATTCATTTTAAAATATAAAAGAATTACTGGTTTCCCCCTCAGGTTTTATGAGAATGTGCATTTCCCAATATAGTTAAGCAGAGGATTAATATGAAGAACAAATAAATTTTTCCCTAAACGAAATGCTTCATACATGGGTCTGGGCCTTCCAGCTAGCCAAATTATTCCCAGGCCACCTGAAATTATCTACAGTAATTCCCACTGACCTAGAACATGTCTAGTTATGAGAAATTGTAATACCTAATTGTACACCATCAAAGATGCATTAAATTGCATTGTTGGCATAATAAATATGCTCAGAGAATAATTTCCATCCACCTCCTCTCCCACCCTCACACTTCCAATCTTTGAATGTGTGTTCAAGTGGAAAGAGTTGCAGATGGAGACAATGCGAAAATCACTGAAGTCAAAACACGGTTGATATTCCCATTCTCCTCAGAGGCTGTATTTCCAATTTAACTGCCACCTTTCGGAGAAAGATGTTCTTAGGCAATAATGGAAAATGAAATTTTAAAATGGAAAGAAAAATAGTTTATAAATTTTATTAGAGTCACCGAGATTACAGTATCAGAGGACATTATTATAGATGTCAGGGAATAAAGATGTGGCTACAATATGTTCTGTGACCATATTTTTACTTATTTACTGAGGCTGGGTATCTAGTAGGACAAATAGTCATCTACTAGAATGATACCAACAAAGGAAAAAAAAACTTAACTGAGAATGTTGGAGATAGGTGACAGCAAGGTGTTAAGTGTGAGATACAAAAATGATATTAACCTGGTTCGTCCATTTTTCTGACTCTCAGTGAGGCAGGGAGATCTGAAGTTGCCTCTGATTTTGTCAGGATCCTACAAGCAGGAAACCAAGAGTCAAATTTGCAGGGATCCCACTGTTTAAAATCCTACACTTTTGACCTCATCTGCGCTTCTCAAAATGCAGGCACACATAACTGTAAGGGTGTGCAGCTCTGTGTAAATGGCACTTGAAATTAAAAAGCAACTTGACACCTATTCCAGTGTTATCAGTTTAATAGGCTGCAGGTGAATGACCACAGCGTGTTTATATGGATGGGCTCATGGAAGAGAATGCAAAATGTATGTGACTTGCAAGTGTTCTCTACCCATTTATAAATTCACATTCAGTAAAAAAAAAAAAAAAAAATCATAGTTCTAAAAAAGAATCAGTCTTACTTTTTGAAGCAGCATGGATGGACCTGGTCAGTTTTATACTAAGTAAAATAACTTAGAGCAGTGGTTCTCAACCTCGGCTGCACATTAGAATCACCTGGGAATCTTTTTAAAATCCTGATTTCTGGGCCTCATCCTCCAGAAATTCTGTTTCTTTGTTATGGGGTGGGGCCACAACATTAGTAACAAAGAAACAGAATTTTCTGAGGATGAGGCCCAGAAATCAGGATTTTAAAAAGATTCCCAGGTGATTCTAATGTGCAGCCAAGGTTGAGAACCACTGACTTAGAGAAAAACAAATACCATGTGTTTTCACTTATATGTGGAATCTGAAGAACAAAACAAACAAACGAAAAAAATAGAAACAGACTCATAGACACAGAGCATACTGACAGTTGACAGAAGGGAGGAGGGTTCGGAGGGCTGGGTGAAAAAGGTAAAGGACTTAGGAAGTACAAATAGTTATAGAATAGCCACATGGATGTAAATTATAGGGAGTATAGTCAGTGATCTGCCCTGTAAGTCATGTTTTTAGGTGTTTTGATTTGCTTAGTGCATATTCTAATGAACTGTGAAGAATTGTTAGAACATGAATGATTTCAGAAATTCCAAATCAGAAAGAAATTTGTCCTTTCTTCTTCACTAGCATTAAATGAACTGCTTTTTTTTGGCTTTATTATATGAGTTAGTGATAGATTCCATAAAGTAGGAGCCATAGAGGAAGGGAAGTATGTTGGCCTGTGTGCAATAATTTGATCATCCTAATAATAAATTCTAAGCTTTTCATTAATGTTTTACCAAAATTGGTTGTATTTTTCTCAGCAGTTTTTTCACCTCCCAGTTTTGTAAATTACATTTTTGTTTTTCGTACTATTTATGCTTTGGTATTGTCAAATTTTCCACTTCTTTTTCCATAGTATTGGTCCTACATTTCTGGTTGACTTTTGCACATTTTAAAAGATATGTCTACATATTTTAAATACTCCCTTCTTTAGTGACTGCCTGAGTATGTCTATATCCATAGTGCCTGGGCTCAACCTGAGATATGTCCTTAGAACATATTTTCTTTATATTTTATTTAATGTAGTGTTGATAAGAATTTTGCTATGAGAGCTTCTGCATGGCCAATGTCTAGTTAATAGTTATCTGGCTCATCTGGCTTCATTTTAGCAACTTCAGAAATTTCCCCATCTGAATATTGATGGTGCGTTGTTTGTTTGTTTGCTGTTTTTATTCAGTCAGTCATCTGGCATGCTACATCTTTGTATGCTATAAAACATCTTATTTTCACCTCCAGCTCAAGATCAGAATTATAAATAGGAACAGAAAACCATGAAGGATGGATGGTCTGCAAACTGATAAGCTTATGCATAAATATATTGTTAGCAAGATAAGATTTAAGAATATTTAAGTGTTACTCCATAGATATGAATAAATTAATCAGTAGTAACCCCATACTCCTTATAACATGGTATAAATAATCTGCGTAAGATGAAATTACATCTATGAAAAGAGGAAATGCATGAGATTAGGACACAACAGAGCCATGTGAAAAGGAGTTGATGAAGGCTTTTCAGAAGATCCCCGTGAATGCATCAGTAACATCAGGTTAACTTTATTGCTGTTACGAAAGAACACATGTTCATACAGGTCCAGTTGATGCACATGTACATTAATTAAGATGCAGTTATGAGGTGGCTTTGTAACTGGGATATTTTTGAATTAAAATAGTTATACTCTGGCCGGGCTGGTGCGGCTCAGTGGTTGAGCGTGGACCTATGAACCAGGAGATCACAGTTGATTCCTGGTCAGGGCATATGCCCGGGTTGTGGGCTCAATCCCCGGTGGGTGGCATGCAGGAGGCAGCAGATCAGTGATTCTCTCTCATCATTGGTTTTTCCATTTCCCTCTCCCTTCCTCTCTGAAATCAATAAAACATTAAAAAAATTAAATGTTTTACTCTGAATTGTGACTTTTCCCTTTCTTTTTTAAATTAAATATATTTTATTGATTTCAGAGAGGAAGGGAGAGAGAGAGAGAGAGATAGAAACATCAGTGATGAGAGAGAATCATTGATGGGCTGCCCCCTACATTCCCCACATTGGGGATTGAGCCCTCAACCAGGGCATGTGCCCTGACCCCTGATCTCCTGATTTATGGGTCGAAGCTCAACCATGGAACCATACCGGCTGGGCAAAAATGTGCATTTTCCCCCTCTATGCCAAAAACTACACAGAACTTTTGGAGGTGCTAGCTTCCTTTCATATTTTTATTCTGATTTACTTGTAAAGTGATGAAGTATCTTCTTTCACCAAGTTTACAAGTGAATTTTGAAGGAAATTAAGCTAAAATGACTGTCATGTCCTCCTGTCAGGTTTGAATACTATCACAGAGGGAGGTGGGAAACATGTCCTTTGAATCAAATGTTCTTCCAGCCTGGGGTATGTCTAAATTCGACCAAACAAACAAACAGAATGCAGACTGGTGCAGCCACTGTGGAGAACAGTATGGCATTTCCTTATAAAACTAAAAATGGAATTTCCATTTGACCCAGTGATCCCACTTCTAGGACTATATATCCCAAGAAAACAGAAACACCAATCAGAAAGGCTATATGCACCCCTATGTTCATAGTGGCACAATTTACCATAGCTAAGATCTGGAAACAGCCTAAGTGCCCATGAGCAGATGAGTGGATTAGAAAACTGTGGTACATCTACACAATGGAATACTACGCTGCTGTAAAAAAGAATGAATTCTTACCATTTGCAAAAGCATGGATGGAACTGGAGAGCATTATGCTAAGCGAAATAAGTCAGT